CGTCTGAAGGCTTGTTTTGGTCCCGAAATATATCCGAAGTTTGGACGATCAATTACTGGCTTTTGCTTTGTTTTCGGTACGCGAGAATAATTTAGAGGCTGTGTAAGATAATTCCGCCAACCCTCTAAAAGTGTATACATCAGTCATCATGGAGATGAGAACACAAATGAATAAACACATTTAACATGTGTCATCCACATACGTCTAAATTACAAGATTTTAATATATCTGAGGTAATTTGAACACTCATCAGCAAGATTAATACACAACTATGATTTTTCGATAAGAACATATCCCAAGAAAACTAACAGTCTACCAGATAAAACATTAGTAGTATTAAAACAAAACATATAAGCGAACAATATTGATTTTTGAACTGCATTTTTTGATTTTCCCGTCGATTGATTGAACCGAAGTGTTCGGTCTCGACGAAGCATCTGCACAAGAAGCCGACATGTCAACCTGAGACCGAACACTTCGGTTCAATCAATCGACGGGAAAATCAAAAAATGCAGTTCAATAATTAATATATGACCCGTTGCACAAGAGGTGGCTCTCGTGACCCAAGTGGTCTAGTGGATAACGCTTTGGCGTTTGAAACTATGGGCACTGGGTTCGAGCCTCGGTGGGAACATCATCACTCACTGAGAAATGCAGGTACATCCAGATGACGAGTCCCAAATAGGACGAAATACGCATCCTGGATTCCACTGCTAGCCACCATCCACCAATTGAATATTGATTTTTCACTTAGATCTTCTTCAGGCTTTACTCTAAGTTACATAGATTTATATATATAAAATTTTAACTAATAACGGTGATTTTGTGGATCAAATAATAATCATAATAATAATGTGGAAAATGTTTTGAACGACATTAATAACGATGATTATAGTGATAACAAAATATTGATAATAAGGTTTATGCAGGTGGCGATAAGAATAACAAAGGTAGTCTATGTATATGTAGACAATTCAATAGACAAATAAATTAAGTCAAATCATAAAAGGTGAACTGGACAGATAATCAGAGTTTAAATAAGTATCATAAAAATACAAAGGAGATAGAAGATAAGAAAGGGTGGGAGGATTTTGAATAGAATTCACCTAAGCTAAGCAAGGAAGAGACAAAAGTAAAACAAACTTCTTTTGTTCTCTCGAATTGAGATTCCCATAGCTTCGGCTATGTGTAAAAGACGGATTCGAATTCCTATACAACTGGTGGGTGGTGGCTAGCAGTGGAATCCAGGATGCGTATTTCGTCCTATTTGGGACTCGTCAGCTGGATGTACGTACATTTCTCAGTGAGTGATGATGTTCCCACTGAGGCTCGGACCCAGTGCCCATAGTTTCAAACGCCAAAGCGTTATCCACTAGACCACTTGGGCCACGAGAGCCACCTCTTGTGCAACGGGTCATATATTAATTATTGAACTGCATTTTTTGATTTTCCCGTCGATTGATTGAACCGAAGTGCTCGGTCTCAGGTTGACATGTCGGCTTCTTAAGCAGATGCCTCGACGATGTCTGGGAATTTAATTAGTATACAATTGGTGGATGGTGGCTAGCAGTGGAATCCAGGATGCGCATTTCGTCCTATTTGGGACTCGTCAGCTGGATGTACGTGCATTTCTCAGTGAGTGATGATGATTCGAATTCCGTTCGAAAGACTCGATGGAATGCGATAGATAACTACTTTGAAGGTGGCACTATTTTTGTCCACTTGGTGACCGCTATCATCAATCAAATGAGCCAAAATAGAACTTCGTATAGATTTTATTTGACCTTTACCGAACCATGAAGGAAATGGAAGGAAATATTGTAAATTTGAAATGGGAATGAAAGGAATATGCTGAAGGTAGAATTATAAATGTATGCTAACAAGGTGGACTTTAACTAAAATCTCCGTTATTGAACTGTGAACATAGTGAAGACGGAGGTGATGAAGACAACCAACCAACCAACCAACCAATCAATCAATCAATCAATAACTATTAATGGGATAAATCCGAAAGAAGTTACTTCCTTCAGTTATCTAGGAAGCATCGTTTCAACCCCAGACAGTCGGAACGGATACAGATGTCAAAGCCAACCAGCCAGAATCGGATAGGCCAGATACACACGCCTTCATCAACCTGAAATCAATTTGGAAATCTTCTGCACTGCACTCAGCATAAAGAACAAGATTTGTACTTTCATCATCAATGTTAAGTCGGTCACTTCATTTGGTCAGGTTGTCACAAAAAGTATTTTCAACAGGTTACCGACTTCTATCAACAACTGAGTTCGCCTGCTCTTTATTATTTACAGTCAAACGTCCAGAATAAAAATTAGCAACAAGAAACTCTGGCGATGAACAAACCAACCAAGAGGCAATCGCTCAATAAATATGTAGAAGAAAATGAAGATGGATAAGGTATGTGTGTTGAAGAGGCCATTGAATGACATTCCGCTCAAGGCACACCATCACTCGAGTGGAAATGGAATGGGAAACGACAGCTGGGTCGTCGGTGTGAATTCAAATTCGTAGTTTGTAGTTTCTGCAGTTCGAGAAGGTGAATCCTCATAATAGTTTCCCTTGGAAACCCAAAATTATTCAGATAACTATACGTGTGCCATCTGCTTGATACCGTAAATGGTAACCTCTTACTTTTTGGAAAAATAATAATAATAATTTGCTTTATTTCAAAACAGTACTTGTGATACAGAATGGAATTCTCACCATTTCACTACAGTATTGCATCCAGTTAGTACATTAACAATAAATAAAATTCTACATAGATCATGGGTAATCTCAGTTAGTTTTGACAACAACATATCGGTAGCATATCGGCAGCAAAGCCCAAATTGAACAGAGTGTTTGAAGGTGTTAGAAAAGTAGATACTAGCATATTTTCTGGAGTGAGCGCTAACAAAAAGCTTGAGATATACAGAGTGTGAAAGAACGAAGAAGAATGTTTTAAGTAGAGTTTGTCAGGAAGACAGAAACAAAACAGCACATAACAGAAAATGGAAAAGAAAGAAAGAAAACGTTGTACCTATACATGACATGAGTTGGAAAGACGAGATCCAGTTGCTCTACTGACTATTTAATAGGCTATAGGTTTCACGCCTAATGCTTTTATTATCGCACAGAACACGAGCCAAGTAGGGTATGGTTGAGTTTTTGTACTTACTAGTGTGAGCCTATAGTTTCTGGTCCTACCTGATGAGATACAAGTGGAGAGTTGTGAATGAAGAGGGTGTTGTAAGTTAGATAAAATGGATTTAGCCCATTTTTCACATGAATCCAAGTGCCTGTCAACCAGAATATTAACAAGCTGGTTAAGTGGCACGTAGCTTACCCTGCTGACAACCTTTAACATCTTGCGTAATAAGATATAGTCTTTCTTCAGCAGCCCTGGAAAAACTAAGGGGGAACAATAGAGAATAATAGGTAGGATGCGAGAGTTAACGAATTGTAGGAGTAAGGGTTGGGTTATTCCAGAATGTCTTAACTTCTTGATGTAGAAGGTAAGACGGAATATTATCCTAGAAATCATCAAGATATGAGACAACTAGGGAAGATCAGCAGATAGAATGACGCCTAGGTATTTGATAAAAGAAATAGTATTTAATGAATTCGTACATGTCGGTGCAAGGACTCGTCAACTGAATGAATACTCCTCTACAAACATTGTTAGTGATATAATTCCTTTCATAACGTTATCATTAGGTAGATAATATTCATCAAATCACACATTAATGTGCGTATAAATTGTAGTTTCTGTGGTACAATTGGTACAATTATAAACATCCAGATTTGATAATAATAATAATATTGAAATACGAGGAAAATTCGTAAAAAACACAAATAAATAAATCAATTTAATAACAGTCTCCAGATACCGGTTCTTAACATTTCAAAGACCTCAAGTAGACAGTCAACACACCTCCCCACATGGCGTAGAAGTACTCCGAAGACTCAATAGATTGATCACATGTTTCCATTTAACTGCCTCTTTCTCTTTACCAATCTAATTCTATGTCAGTTGGTATTTCTCAACGAGGAAAGTATTGGCTCAACATGAGTAGTGATATATTTCCCTAACCATCGATTCGTAGCCTCAATATTTCTCAATGCTCAACACCAGAGAGAGAGAAAGCATACACCTAGTGCTCAAGACGGCCGTCCTCTTCATAGCTTCCACTTCCAATGACTATGTCTCACAGTCATAGAGAAGGATGGAGCAAACTCTTGAGTAATACAGCCGTTCTTTGATCGATATCCGAATTTCACCTCCAAGGGAAAGATGATGTAAATTTGTAACGACAGGAGACAGTTCGTTTATTAAGAAAATCAACGGATATTTATAGATTTTTATGTGCATTACTGTCAGTGGAGAAGCAACGTCTTCTGATTGGTCGCTTCCTTCCTAAAGGTTATTATGCACTGCATGTGACCGTTTCTTAGAAAGTTAAGCCATAAACCTACGAATCGTATTTTCACACACTAAGTCTACTGTGATTTGTTGGTAAGCTCCTCAAGGTTAGGCTTTGTAATTGTTTTTCTCATGACCGCGATTCGCGATGTAAACATTGACGTAAATTGTTGTCTATGATTTTGGATTGCAGACAGCTCTCACCACAAATTGACAAATGTCACACGATTCTTTTGTATCCATGCTGGCATTTCGTCAAGAAACATTCCATTAGAGGTGATGCAACTTCCTATTTAAGTGAAATAGTCGACACACCCAACCAATTTACTCTCTATATTTAAATATAGAATAGATCAAGACCATTTCTGCGTCATACACCTTACACTTGACAGAAGTCAAGTCAGATGTCAAATAGCCTTGACTTATGTTCAAGGTGTTCAGAAGACTGAGACTTTTGTCAGCATCCACATAATCTAAGTCGTCAATACTGTTGTGTGGTAGCAAGTCAATCCGTAACTGGCTAAAGTACACCATTATTGCATGTATGGAATAAAGCTGGACGAAATTAGTGCTGACTTACTTGCATGATATTGGCGGTTGACCTTTAATTTTTTCAATTCCAACTGGATGTGCTAAATGCGTTTTCCCTTCTATACGTGCCAATACTGTAGCTGATTTTTTCTGTAAATTATATAAGTCTCTTATAACATATTCACTCAGAGATTCAGGCCAACCTTCACGATTTTGTTCATTCAATATGACTGGTGAAAGAACCTGTGAAAAAAAGGAAGCAACAATGATAGAAGGGTGTAGAGGTAAATTAATCCCTCCCCCCAGAATTATTAGCCTGCAACACATTCTCTATTCAATATTGGATACTGACCTTCACTGATTAATTCGACTCGTTAAGTTGAAGGTAGGCGTTGAAGCATACAGTAGTCACGGACAAAGAAGAATACACCAAGAAAGCTGAAGAGCAACTCAAAGATGAAAATGTCGGCCAACAACACATGAGAAATCCTACTCAGACATTAGATAACCACATTCGAAGAACCATAAACAAGAATATCGAAACAGGTCACATCACCAAAGAACATCACAGGCAAATAAAATCCAATGGGCCAATTCTAACAAGATTCTACGGAAGACCTAAAATAAATAAAATAAACACCTCACTATAACCAATTGTATCACTTCCAGGAACTCCAACATACTATTTAACAGAGGAAGTACACAGAAGAATGAAACATTAAACAGAATCCTGAGGTCCCTCTATCAAACCTGCAATCCAATCTCTAGAGAAAATCAAAGGTATTCAGGTAGACGACCGAAAAGTAAAGGAACTCTTTAATATCATAACAGTATATACTTCAATAGAACAGAGACTAGGACAACAAACCATAGAGCAATTTTTCAGCAACAACGAACATCTCTCCTACAACCCTCAAAAATTCAACACTCAAGTTGGCTGAAATCTATAAACTTACATTTAACAACATATTTTCGGTTCAATTGCCGAGTATTTGAATAAATTGAAGGGACACCTATGGGATCACCCAAATCAGGTCTGATATTAGGCGCTGTGACGCCGAAACATGAAAAAATAATCCTACCGAAGGTCGAACCAAAAATCTGGCTACGTTGCTTGGATGACAAATTCGTAATAATCAGAAGAAATGACTTAGGCAGTTAAGCATCTACGACATTTGAGATACTGTCGTTTTACGTTCCTTCGTTCGTCTGTTCGCGTACAACCTTTAGCTAACTAAACAATGAATATCATACTAAGATTCTAATCTCGAAATATATCTCGTATTTTGGACAATCAATATTTGGTGTTTTGATCTGACAGTGATCTCGGTAAAACAATTACTCTGGGAGTTACAGGACAGAAACTATATTTATATACAGACCAGGGAGTGCTGGACAGTCGTTTCCCTCTGGTTTACAATTCGTCATCAATAAGCACCTATAACTCAACCAGAGATCAAATCCACGGCCTTCGTTTTAAATAGACCGAGTCTGTTGATCATTCAGTCATTGAACAAAATAAATGCTCTTAGGCATACACTACACAGCAACCTTGTCCATTTAAGAGACCAAATTCTAAAAGATTCGCAATCGAACTGTGCCTATAAAATAAAATGCTTGCTTGAAATGTGATGGGATATAGATCGAACAAACCCCGACAGAGAGAAATCAAGATGAGGAGAAATGAACATCACAGAGCATCTATCCGACCGCCGAGAAATCCAGTTTAATTAGAAAAGCTTGAAAAATCACCAGTCATAGGTGGTTTACACGTTATAGAATCAAGCCAAAAAACTGATTTTGTCAATTAACTGATACAATAATAACAGCTTTATTCTAGATAATATGCCAACAAATAGTACAGAATTTACAGCATATCTGGACCGCACAATATCTACTCTTAGTACAGGATCTTCAAGCAAAATAGTATTTGGCAGTACATCGTGTGACTGTGTGTTGCTCCTTCTGAAGTAATATCCAAATCTCTATATGATTGTTTCCTCAATTTTCTTGAAAGATGCTCTGCAAAGGGGGAATGCGTTTGCGCCAGTTGTTGACAACGATGATTTGGAGTCATAGCATCCGCCAATTGTCACCAGCCTTTATTGCAGTTTACCATCCCGAGGACCCAAACCAGTCACACACCCAGTCTACACCTCCCTATGTGACTGGCTGGCTTAAACTAACTGTGGTGGATTTCATTTACTGATGATGTCATGGTTTGGTTTGACCACCGCTAGCTAACTCTTCTCTATCCTGGTCAATCCTATGTCAGCTAACATTGCGCATTGTCGAGGAAGGCGATTGAAGGCTAGCAATGCATGCGTAACACATTCCCCAGCGATCACCTCAATCAATGTAACTTCACATCTTACGATTGATTTCCCCTCACACCTACCTAACACTCACTCGATTGAAGCCTACCCTCAGTATTGCTCACCTTATTATGCCAACCACCTAACATGGGAGACAAAACGCAGACACCTATGATCAAAGACAACTAGTCAGGCTTCTCCTGCCTTCCACTTCCAATGGTTATGTCCCACTCAAAAACATATAGGGGGACAGAGCGGACTACTGCTAAGCAGTACTCACATCCTTTGATCGACAGCCAGTCGGATACCACGTCTAATAGACCAGAGATGGTGTAAGTTTGCATATGCCAAACCAGCCTTCTGTAGTCGTGCAGAGATTTCGTCAGCGATCAACCCGCTCTCACTGGCTGATCCCACTCCCCAAATAAGTGAAGTGGTCAACACTCTCAGCCGCGGCTTGACTCCTGCCTATCTTTAAGCTCAGAGTAGTCGATGTCATCTAGTCCTGTCGTGTGACATCATCTTACATTTGAAAGGAGCGAATTGCATGGCGAACGTTCCAAGTTTCTTGCTCAATCTGTTTAGAACACTCTGCGTTTTGTTAGAGTCTTCACCCAGGAGGCAGGACTATATCATCTTCATACACTAAGTCAACGAGACTATACGCTGGTGATAACGAGTCACTCCATCAGTAGCTGAAATCGGTTAGGGCTAAGGCCAATAGTACAAATCTATGATGAAATTAAAGAGAAATGGGACAGTGGGCATCCCTGACGGACGCTAATGGTTGTCACCATTTCAGACGGTAACTCTACTTAGGCTCTCACCTAACTGAATTAGTTCGAGTAGAGTAAGTGCTTTGACCAGTGTGACATATTTTCCTGGCAAGCCCTTCACAACTAAACATCGCCATAGTAGCTATCGGACGACAGAATCGAATGCCGACTTTAGGTCAAGAAATATAACGATTGTTGGACGGCAGTAAGTATGCCACCTCTGTTCTAGAATCTGTCGATGAGTGAAGATATGATCGATACACCCTCTTCCTGGTTTAAAGCTTGTGTGTTTGTTTCCCCCGAACACTGCTATATCTACGCATGATTACTGAACCTAGAACTTTAGTTACCATAGTGGTCAAGCTAATCCCCCCAGTGATTCAAGCAGACTACCAGATTATGAACAATAAACTGTTTTCGAAACCTTATCCAGTAAATAATACTGTTTCACCGTGTGATATATATTTCTAGTGAACAAATTAGCGTCATTTTGGACAATACTGAAGTCATCCAGAAAAATGTCACAATATCAGAAGCACTTCATACTAAATGGAATCCACTTGTGTCTGAACAGGAGTGATGATGGAGTAAGACAGAATTTGACCTGGTTCCGTCACACACATACACACTCCTCCTCATGCAGTAACAAAATCAACAAAAATGTGATCAGCATTTTCATTATGTAAACGCAGACCACTTTTATAATTCTATACGCTTATCAAATCCAACAATCCTTAAATGCTTTTTTATCCTTACGAATTGACCAGCTTGACAACGTGAAAGAAATTACATTATGCTAAAAAACGATGGTTAAGTTACCGCAAGCATAAGCTGAGATTTCGGCATCAGTTACAAGGATCACTGAAAATCAGGGATAACGAAGAGTTCAATTTCCTGGGCCTAAATGTAAAAAGAAGAAACGACGGAACGTTTGAAAAGTCCATCTACAGAAAAGAAACTTGGACTGGAAAATAACTTCACTACAACAGCTTGTGCCCTATGAGCTACAAGCAGGGATTAGCAAGGACACTGTAGGACAGGGTCAGGAAGTCAGGCGGGTCTAACAAGGTAAAAGAAGAATTAAGCTTTGTTGAAAAATGCCTTAAGGAAAACGGGTATCTAAAAGGATTTATCCTAAAGTACAGCAAAGAAAGAGACGAGAAAGAGAAGTATCCAACAGTTGAAAAGAAGATAGGAATAATTTGCCTCCCGTACAAAGGAGAGACAGTATAACAAAAGATTGAAAAGAGGATGAAAGGAACAATCAAGAGATGCTTTCCTGCAGCCAAGCTGATGACACTATACAACCCTACATGGTCTTTAAGCCAATCCAAACTGGATAAGTACCCTGCTGATGTTACCTCCAGCTGTATCTATAAATTCACGTGCACCTGAGGCAGCAAGTATATTGGAAGGACATAAAGGACTTCCATCCGGTTTTCAAGGCATATTCCAAGAAACTAATGCATGAAAGGAAGCAGATATTTACAAAGTGCAATTACCAGACACCCACCATGTGGATACGGGTCATTTTGTCGAGATTTTCTAATTCTTCAAAATATTAAACATAGAAAGGACAGAGAATCTACTTCGATTTGCTGAAGCAATTACAGTGATCAAACGTCTCAGACCAAACTTATGCACACAGAAAGAGAGTGTAGTCAATCTCCAACTCCCTTGGTAACCATATCACTTTGATTACACTGATTAGTCATACGCACTAGTGAGCTCAACTCACTAAACAAGTTTTCAAATTGATGAACTTTGATCTTCTTGAGTCGCCATATTGACGTACAAGCCAACACTGTTCATTAGGTTTTTCTGTTTTCTGTCTTCTCTCACCCTCCCCCCTATTTTTCATAGTTTGATAGTATATAACTTAAACCATAAATTGTAATAATTGTAATCCGCATGCGTTCACCTTATAATGTTTTCTCTAATACCTTTGAAACAGTGAAGTATGAAATATTATTTATTATTTATAACCGTTTCAATTTCAGGTAGTTTGCAGCTGTTGAGAACCTGTGAAATAGAATGATATCTGGTCTTTCTTTCTCTGTCGATATTTGTCAAGGAAACCAAATGTATGAAATTCGCGATATATATATCACGAGTTGACGTCAGTTAGGGGGCACTGGGAGTGTGTGTCGTCTTAGTCTGAGAATCTTCAGTAGTGCGCAACCCCCATCAGGGATGGAACCCAGGAACCTTCACGTTAGAACACAAAGCTCGTTGAACAAATTATTCCTTACTCATTATACTACTAACTATTGGTTTTTTCAGTAGGCCTACAAGACAAAACACTACCAACTTACTGTATTTACAAAAGCAATAAAATGATGCAGTGGTGATTTATTCATTTCCCCGTAATTAATTTGATTTTGCAACGTGACAAAATCAACATATTTCTCCATGGCATATTTCCCTTTTTTAATAAAATAAAACACCTTTGATTTAAATTTCTCTGGAAATTGTGTCATTATCTCAAAGATACCAGTTGGTGTTACTGTGATGAAAAGATGCAGTTGATCCATTTGTTCAAAATAATCAATAATTATTTGTACACTGTTAACATCTTCAAGAAACTTCTTCACTTTATCCCATTTTACATCAGTAATCAACTGAATGAAGTCGAAGATGAAACGTAGACGTATATCAGATATCTCTTCAAATGGCATAATTGTGGAATCTGGTATTGTAAATGTTGTGATGCATATATATATTTATATATATTGATAATTTCGAAGGGAATACCTAATTCATTGGAGGCTTGTCTTGTGTAATTCCAGAATAGGTATTATTAGTCCCTTCTACTATGAGTTTTGATTGAATCTTTAGCGTTAATCAGAGGATTATTTATCGGGATGATTAGATACCCTCTGATCAGATTTGAACGATGCCTAATCAATAATTGATTGAATGAAGTATAATATCATTATATTATTATTATTACTATAATTAATACAGGCATTATTGTCAAATGAAGTAATCATAGATCTTCTGTAGCTAGTGTATGTGTAGATGTTAGGCACTGTGGTAATAATAATAAAGACATTAAAATAGTCCCTGTCCCTAAACCTGGAAATAGCAAGAATGTAAAATTCAGACCCACTGGCATTACCTCCCCGTTTCTAAAGCTAATGGAAAAACTAGTACTTCTCAAACTTGAACCCTGCCTTAAAAGTTTAGAAGACCCTAAACAATTTGCATATAGACAGGGTAGGAGCACTTTAGATGTTGCAGCCGTCTTACACAACAGTATCGTCTCATCATTAGTTAAAGGTGCCAAATATTTTTGTTGCACGTTTTTCGACTTCAATTCTGCTTTTGACTCTGTATCTAGATGTCTCTTGCTAAATAAGCTCTCGATGACACGAACTGCTTGCATTCCTATTTCTCTAACAGAATGCAGTACAACAAATACAAAGGTAAATCCTCCTCTGCTGTGCTCACTGAAGCTGGTGTCCCCCAAGGTGCTGAACTCTCCCCACTTCTCTTTTCTTTCTTTCTATATGACTTACCATCTTCAAATGACATTAATTATGTCAAATATGCTGACGACATGACTGGATCTTTGCCTGTCAAGTGTCAAAGTGACTAGAGCAAACTAAATGGCTTTTTATCAGAAATCAGCCAGTGGTCCAAGGAAAACGGTCTTACCTTAAACCCCTCCAAATGACAAACAGTCAATTTCACCTTTAGGCATAAATCTGACCTAAACAAACTGGTTAGCACTCACGAGGTGTGCAACATAGGTGGCACTGAAATAGAAACCAAGTCGGAAATTAGATATCTTGGCGTCATTCTATTTGCTGATCTTTCCTGGTTGTCTCATATCTTGACGATTTCTAAGATAACATTCCATCCTAATAATAATAATAATTTTTGTTTTATTCCAAAAACAGTACGCATGATACAGCAAGGAATTTTCAGCATTCAGTACAATATTGCATCTAATTTACTCAAAAACGACAAAAAAAATTAAAAATATACATTACATAATAGTAATAAAACGATTGTTATAGCAGCTACACAGCAAAATACTGTATGCCATACGGAGAAAAATATGCATAAAGTACAAAATTGTAGTAATAATAGTAATACCAACTAAAATAAAATAGCAGAGTAACAATTAAACGATAGAAAGTGTGACACCATAAAATACAGAAAGATGAACGATGAAAGGGTCGATTCACTGTGCTAATTACATAGTAACTTATGTGTTTCACGTCTAACAGAGTCTTCGTCACATAAAGTACGGGCTAAATAGGGTATTGTAGAATTTCTATACTTAGTGGTACGAGCATATAACTTTTTATATTGACTTCTCGTCCTACCTGATGAGATACAAGGGGACAGGTGTGAATAAAGGGGGTGCAGAGGGTCTGACAGTATAGCCTTTGCCCATTTCGTACAGGAATTTATATGCCTCTCGACTATAGTATTAGCGAGCTCATGCAGTGGCAGACCACAAGCTCTACTCACAGCATTTAATACTCTTCGTAATATGATATAATCTTTTTTGAGAAGCCCAGGAAAGATTAATGGAGAGCAATAGAGTACAATAGGTAAAATACAGGAGTTTAAAAATTGCAAAACTAAAGGTTGGTTGATACCTGATTGTCTTAACTTTTTAATGTAGAAGGTAAGACGAAACATTTTCTTAGAGATAGATAAGATGTGGTATGACCATGAAAGGTCAGAGGAAAGAACTAATCCAAGGTATTTAATGCTTGATTTGGTTTCAATTTCCGTGCCATCTATGCTACAGGGATCATGAGAACTAACTAGTTCAAGTAAGTCACGTCGATGCTTGAAAGTAAAGTCAAGCGCCTGACATTTGGAAGGATTTAATATAAGACCATTTGACTTGGACCAGTTGTTGATGTCCAACAGAAAGCTATTAAGTTTGGAGCTGTCAGACTCGGAAGTGATAGGCAGTGATACAGTCAGATCATCTGCATATTTGACAAAGTTAGTTTCGTTTGAATGAGGCAGGTCATGTAGGAAGAAAGAAAAAAGAAAAGGAGAGAGGACAGCACCTTGTGGAACACCGGATTTTGTAAGCGAGGTAGAAGAAGATTTGCCGTTATATACAGTATACTGCATTCTATCAGAAAAATAGGAATGCAACCAACTCTTAGCCCAGGATCCTGTTTGTGTCAACGATAGCTTATTTAACAAAAGGCCCCTAGGTACAGAGTCAAAAGCAGATGTGTAGTCTAAGAAAGCACTACGAACATATTTAGCACCTTTGTCTAAACAAGAGACAACATTGTGATATAAGATGACCGCAGCATCCAAGGTACTTCTACCATGTTTGTATGCAAATTGTTTAGGATCATTAAAAGGTTTCAATGAAGGTTCAAGACGAAGTAAAAGTAATTTTTCCATCAATTTTAAAAAGGGGGAAGTAATTGCAATAGGCCGAAATTTAATATCAGAACCAGAAGATGGTTTTGGTATAGGGATAATTTTAATGTTTTTCCATGCAAAAGGTAGAACGTTACCGGAAAAAGAAGCATTAAAAATGTTAGTAAGAGGATAACACAAAATATCAGCACAATTCCTGAGGACAATGGCAGGTATGCCGTCAGGACCAAGGCTTTGAGAAGGCTTAAGAGACCGGAGACATTTAAGCACATCAAGGGTATTAAAACCACTAAAGTTATTGTCAATATGATTTGTATCATTTGGAAGGGTATCAACAGAAGAGCGTATGAAAGATTTATTAAGAGTGTCAACATTAAGAGATGGAACAGAAATACATCGCTTACCGTTAGTAATTTCTTTGAAAAGTTTCCATAAATTAGAAGGGGTTTTACATGACAAAAATCTTTGATTATATAAAACATTTAGTCTTTTCATTTCCAGTTTTATCAGAATGTTTAACTTTTTTACACCAGGCTTATCATTTGTTTTGAACAACAGTTCTTTATCTCTACGTAGCTTTTTGAGATATGGCGAAGATAAGCGATCAAATCGAATGAATAATGTTTCTTTAGGACAACATATTTCGAAACAGAATTTAAGATAATCGGTAGTGTTTGTGATTGTTTCATCTAATGTTTGTTCTGTAAATAAGTCCCAGTTAGTGTCTTTCAACATGCATCTGAGCTTGTCTAGGTTGTCTTGTGAGTAGCATCTCCGTTGAACTTTACTGTAGAGGTGAGAGAGGACACCTTTGTGTGATTTGGAATATATTTTAGGCAGTACACGTATGATACAGTGGTCAGAGTTAAGTAAAGGAGCACGTTTGCGAGCTTCATATATACCAACATCATTGATATATACTAGATCCAGCTTTTTACCAAGACGGGTGGCAAAGTTAACAATATTGTCATGACCAAGTGATATAAGGAAGGAGCAATCGCTTCCATTGAAGTCGCCAGTTACTATTGATAAAGAGTTCTCGAAACAAGCTGCAGCAAAAGCGGTGAATTCATCAAGAAGTGAAGACATTCTGGTATACCCAACCCTTACTCCTACAACTCGTTAACTCTCGCATCCTACCTATTATTCTCTATTGTTCCCCCTTAGTTTTTCCAGGGCTGCTGAAGAAAGACTATATCTTATTACGCAAGATGTTAAAGGTTGTCAGCAGGGTAAGCTACGTGCCACTTAACCAGCTTGTTAATATTCTGGTCGACAGGCACTTGGACTCATGTGAAAAATGGGCTAAATCCATTTTATCTAACTCACACCACCCTCTTCATTCACAACTCTCCCCTTGTATCTCATCAGGTAGGACCAGAAGCCTATATAGAAAACTATAGGCTCACACTAGTAAGTACAAAACCTCAACCATACCCTACTTATCTCGTGTTCTGTACGATAAAGAAAGCATTAGGAGTGAAATTTATAACTTATTAAATAGTCAGTAGAACAGCTGGATCTCGTCTTTCCAACTCATATCATTTATAAGTACAACGTTTTTCTTACTTTCTTTTCCTTTTCTCTCTCTTTTTTTCTTCTGTTATGTGCAGCTTTGTTTCTTTCTTCTGCTTACGCCAGTAAATATGCTAGCATCTACTTTTCTAGCACCTTCAAACACTCTGTTCACTTTTGGCTTTGCTACCGATATGCTACCGATATGTTGTTGTCAAAACTAACTGAGATTACCCATGATCTATGTAGAATTTTATTTATTGTTAATGTACAAACTGGTTGCAATACTGTAGTGAAATGGTGAGAATTCCATTCTGTATCACAAGTACTGCTTTGGAATAAAATTATTATTATTATTATTGTTATTATTATTATTCGAAATGTCATATTAATGGAACACTTTTAATAAAAATGCTCCTGAAATACGCCAAGACAGAAGTGGAAAGAAAAAATGGACATAACGTGTTGATACTTGATTTTGGGTTCTTTGTAACTGACTGATTGTTTGAGCTAAACAAAACTCGCTGTTATTCAGCACAGAGACCTTCGAAACACGACAGTATATGACGGATCAGTGTGGGAAACTATTCTTGTACTACTGATAAGACGTAGAAGGTAGATTGTGAAGGCAAATGACGAGTTAACTACAAGTTTTGTCCAGTTAGGTTAAGGCAAAATGTTTAGTCCAAGAGTTGCATAGGTCTTGTAACGAACAAAATCAACTCGTCCTGGTCTGAACACAAGAAACTAATGTCGGTGGCCTACTGTATAGCTGTCTGAGGATCTTCCT